AAGTACAGTTTTTTCATTAGAAATCTACTCGAGTTAAAGTAAAAGTACCCACAATTAAATCTACTCTTAAAAGTACAAATTTTCCAAAAAAATACTCAAGTAAATGTAACGAAGTAAATGTACTTCGTTACTACCCACCTCTGCATTTAACCTTTTCGAATCATGTCCATGATTTTTTTTAGTTCACATAGCAAGTGCCAAAACCTTTGCTAAGTTTCGTACCATTCCGATGAAGTAAAAAAAATCGATCGTAAACTAAAAAATCTTAACATTTTTCGGTCACAAATAACCGAGGAGCACCAGAGGGGGTCCACTCCTAATCGTCAGCAGGTCGTACAAAAATTAGCCACCAATTCTGCAGAATTCAGTGATTATTTTTGTTTTGAACATTAGCACATTCTCAACAGTAGCTTTAGAGAATGATCAAATCAACCACAATAAGGAGCAGACATGTGTAGAAGCGTGATGAGCGATGAACACAAATTCTGTGGAATTCTGCAGTCAGGCGTTGCAGACAGGGCGACTTACTGCCAATATCCGCTAATGCAAATCAAAGAAACACTTATTGGACCAGGACGAAGTAGAGTTTTAAACAGCCATGTTAGGCAATGATCAGCCACCGCTCATTTGCATTGTACCATATCAGGTTTAGGTTCAAAATACCCTGTATTTACTGTACATCACAACTGTGATCCTCACGATGATGAAGCTATCTAAGGATTTCCCTGAATGGCGAACGATGTGATGTGATGATGTTTCATTGCTTTGGACCTTCATGGAAACTGAGAGGATGTTAAAAGATTTAATTTAGTATTTTACACTAAAGAAACTATAATGATCATGTTATCAAATGTTTGTCAAAGATGCAATAATGTGACGCACGTCTTGTGCAAAAGTGTTTGCTTTGGCTTTTGTCTATTTTGGTTATTATTTGAGTCACCTAACTTCCTCTTACTAAGAAAGGAAATAACATTCCTATGGATTGAGATAAAGTAATAAACAATGTTTACAAGGAGCTGTTTTGCATATTCATTATGCACTTTTTGTTGCTTGTGAACTTCCTTCTTCCTTGTAGAGGCGGATAAATATATAGTCAGAAAGGGAGGGAAGGAAGGAAAGCCAAATTCGACATGGATTGATATACACATGGATTCACCATTCAAATCAAACCTATTGCTCTACATGATTTTTGTATATCTTTACATGTGAAAATGTCATTATTTATAAGCTGCAAATAGCTTTTGGCAGTAAAAGCAAATTAGCAAAGAAAAAAGAAAAAAGAAAAAAGTATAACACAACTTTCTGTTGAATTTAAAGGTGTGTCTATAGTAATGGACTAAAATTAGAGCTCTAGTACATACTTCAGATGCCATAAACCATCAATCACAATTAAAATCAAAACAGAATATTTGACACAAACGTTTTTATTTCGTGACAAGAAACATGTCAAAACATAGTCAACATAAAATACTCATGTCTGTGGTATTACTGGTTAATCTCCATCTAAAACTGTTAAAACATATTTCAATAATTGGTCTTAAATTGTTGTGCATGCAGCTTTTTTTTTAGAGCTAACACCTATTTGTATATACTTACATATTTCAAAACGTAATTAGTAAGATTGCATGATTTGATTATATAAAAGCTCAAGTTATAGTGAAACCAAAAAAGTGAACACGTGAACATTTTATTGACTATTATTACTAAACCATTTATGGCACCACTGGTTGAATGCAGAGGACTTCTGGAATGAGGAGGCTCTATTTCTGTCTTTCTTTCTTTTTTTTAGACTAATAAAGTTACTGTGATTTTCACCCACCTATTTTGTAAAAACCCTGGATTGAAACGGCAAGACGCGCATAAAGTCTAAAAATGTAAGTGCTCAATTAAGGCGGATATTTTTTATCCAGTAAGAAGACATGTTTGAAACACATTTACCGAATAAACCCCTCGTCCCCATGCGACTGTCCGTCAGCGTCAGCTGTGATTGGATAACTGGAGTAACCAGTGGACCAATGGCGTCGCAGCGTCTCTAATGTTGGTTTGCTGTTTCCGAAACGCCGGAGTCGAACTGTGTGATCTTTAATCTGAGGTTTAATTCCCTCCAGAAGCGTCTCACACACACGAGTGTGTTCCCAAACACCAGCATCCGAACGCAAGATGAACATGACAGCGTTTACTGTGTTTCGTCTGACGCTCTGAGACACTCATAAATGATGATGGAGGAGAAAGAGCCACATTGCAACAACTTCCATTTATATTATATATAAATGGATATAGCATTTTAATTTGTGACTATATGCTATTTTTATAACTATATGCACCAAAAAAAGAAAAGAAATAAGCCAAATACACATTTATCATTTTATTTTAATGAATGTTTACAGATATTTTGCACCAATCTCCTTGGAAGTGATGATTTTGTTCTCTTGAACACATGGGATGGAAACGCTGCTTTATTCGCAAATGTTTTTGTGTGATATTCCAATTTTGCGCATTAGTTAAATTCACAATTTTGGATGAGAACAGCTACTGTCTCAAGATTTTCTCACACATATATATTTTTTTTGTTACTACTTTCTCTATTTTTTTTATTATCGGTCAGTTTAATAATTGATCATTTCACCTTTAAGTATTGCATTTTAATTTGTGATATCAATGAGATGATGTGCACCAAGAAAAAAAAGAAGAAGCCAAATACACATTTATCATTTTATTTTAATGAATGTTGAACGGACAAGGAGCAGGAAGTACATCTTTATTTATTGCATTTGCCAATGCAACTCTGAGAACTTAATTCCTGTTCACATTAATGATTATAAGGCACTGGCAGGTAATAAACATGTTGCACGTTGCTACTTGGACACCTTGAACTAAACGTGACAAGCTGTTACAGCTGAGTATGATATTTTTAGAACTGAAACATTAAACAGAATGACAACAACATAATGCACACAAGCTCATGTTAATGGGACATCTTTGCAGACAGATGCTAAGATTAGACTGTCTCCTCTGAAGAGAAAACATGAAACTGGACAAACTCATGCACACTGACAGTTAAAATAGATACTAGCATATCAAAGACACAAGTGTGATACAAATTACACATATAACTATATGCTAATTTGACAATATTGGATAAAACATCAGTATAATTATTATAACAATAATGATGTCATCATTATGTTGAATTGACAACATAAGATGTCCTTTGTACATTCAAATTGTCAAAATCCACAAGCTCAACATTATATAACTGAACCAGATTGATAAGAAACATGTAACAATAAAGCACAATTAAATATGATGTCCAGTACTATGGCAAGATTCAGAAAATGCAATGTGACAGTCCAATTGTAGTGCTTGACTTGAGTACTATTATAAAAACATATCAGCGGATTCCCATCCCTAACAACTGAAACACAGAAGTACAATAAAAAGTCTGCAGGAGACAAGGAATCACATCTATTACTATTTAAAGTGATTCTGTGGTGGAGTAGAATTGAATGAACGATTAGGTGCAGACTTAAGAACAAAATTACTCTGAACATTGAAAGCAGGGCTGGCCCTTAATGACTGTAATTACATACAACTAATTTTACAGAATGCTCAAATTACATTTCAGCTTCTGTCCAAACCAAATCTGCAGCCTTTGAGACAAGGTACAGTTTGCTGCACGCTAGGAGCAACAATTGATGCAATGTGCATCAACCTCTTTAAAAACAACTAGACACACATTTGACTTTGTAGTCATACGTAGTTACCACATGTACTATGTGATAAGTCAATTAGGTTTCTGAGACTTTAAAGAGCCCCAGTCAGAAACCTCCAAAAAACAGAAAAGATGAAAACACCAGAGCTACACTGTCAGAAAAGAATGGGCAAAAACGGTACCTTCAGGGGTACAACAGCTTGTCATTGGGTGAAAAGATAGTACCTTATCTACCCCCAAATGGAGCATATTAGTATGTTAGGGTAGTAACATGTACCCTTAAAAGTAACACAATGAACTTTTAGGGCTAACACGGTACACAGTTGTCCCTTTAAGGCAGAGGTCTTCAACCCTGCTCCTGGGGACCTGCTCTCAGGGACCTGCTCTCCAGCAGAGAGTAGTTCCAACCCTAATCAAACACACCTGAAACAGCTAATCAAGCTCTCCAGGATCACTTGAAAATACACAGGCAGGTGTGCTGAAGCAGGTTGGAAATAAGCATTGAAGCCCCCAGGTGCAGGGTTGAAGATATGTGAAGGCCAACTATGGTAACCCCTACTCTGAGTTTGCACTCTGCAAACCATAGACACACACACCCGGAGCAGTGGGCAGCCTTTTTTGCGGTGGTGCCCGGAAAGCGATTTGGGGTTATTGCCTTACTCAAGGGTACCCAAGTAATTTCCTGCAAGTATTAACAATCAAACCCACAACCTTTGGGTTACAGGTCTGACTCTCTAACCATTAGGCCACGACTGCCCCCTAGGCCTCTGCTTTAAGGGTATTGCCCTGGAGACAAGCTGTTGTACCATGAAGGTAAAAATTTTGGGCTTTTTTTTTCTCTGAGAGTAAGACCTACTTATGGGCAGGGTGTTCTTTATTTTTTGCCATTTTGCCTTTAATGAGATAGGATAGTATAGAACAGGGGTGTCCAATCCTGCTCATGGAGGGCCACTGAGCTAGGGGTAACATGGTACACAGTTGTCCCCTTTTAAGACAGAGGACTTAAACCCTACTCCTGGGGACCCGCTGTCCTGCAGTTTAGCTACAACTCCAATTAAACAGACCTGAACCAGCTAATCATGATCTTACTGGGCATTCTAGAAACATCCAGGTAGGTGTGTTGTGGCAATTTGGAGCTAAACTCTGCAGGACAGTGGCCCTCCAGGACCGAGTTTGGACACCCCTGGTACAGAGAACTGACAGCAAGTGGGAGAGAAAGGGGGACATCTAGATCTTCGGCAACCCGAGTTTGAGTCCAGACTGTCTTTCACCTTTCCCGATCGTCTGGACTCAAACTCGGGTTGCCGAAGATCTAGATGTCGGACCACTTCCCATGAAGTTATCGGCTTCTGAGATGATTCTTTCTTTTGAGAGACTATTCATGCATTGCCCTTTTCGTGGTCCCAAAGTTTCAAAGAAATTAAAAGAAGTCTCCCCTGGACTTGAGTTTGAGAATCTCTGCAGCCATCTGTTGTGCGTCTTTCAGCTGTGGGAACATTTCCATAACTTTGTTTACATGATGTGGGTTAAAAATTGCATGAAGCTTCTTCCTGACCTCCTCTCTTTCTTCCTGGAAAGTGCTGGACTGTGGCATGGCTGAGTGCTGCTGGCTTCCGTAGCCATTGGAAGACCTGTGCGAGCTAGGGCAGGGTAAAGGTTCGGGTAAACTGCTCGCCTGTGGTGAGTAGAGAGGGTAAGACCAGCCCGCATAAGCAGGAAGACTGTAACTCTGGGCAGGGTGGGCAAGAGGTAGGGAGCTGTAGGCACTATAGTTGTGATGAAAGTTGGAGTAAGGGCTCATGTTGTCGTAGTAGCGCTGGCCGCCTACAGGTGTGGTAGGGATACCGGACAAAGGCGGATGACTCGATCTCATCCTATGCGAGTCGTCAATGCTCTTGGATGGCTCTGAAAACGGGCTTTCATAGGATCCAAGCCCAGAGTCGGAACTGAAAATGGACGAAGGGTTTGTTGGGAAAGGTGCTTGCATACTGGTTCTGTCAACCAGAGGACTGCGCTGTCCCACTGGGGCTCTATTTAAAGGCTTTTTCATGGACAAAATATCATCCCAGTAATTGAGCATGACACCCCTGCTGTCAGAGCTCTCTGGCTCCAATTTGAGCTTCTGTTCAAGTTCTTGCTCCAAGGAGGGAGAACTGGACCCAAACTCGGGGTCATTTCTTGGGTACATGCCTCTCCCAGTTATTCTGCTGTCCTCTTTAGATCCAGACAGTCTGGCATTCTCTCGAAGCTCGTCGGCTAGAGAGCGCTGTGACTGGTTAGTGCGCTCTGGGTGGTAGAACTTACACTTGATCCCATATGTGCACTTTTTTCCTGAAGAGTAAAAATACAAAAGTGTTATAAGGTCTATTTACATTTACATTTATTCATTTAGCTGACGCTTTTATCCAAAGCGACTTACAATTGCTATATATGTCAGAGGTCGCACGCCTCTGGAGCAGCTACTAGAAAATTCAGGTAGGCGAGTTTGATCAGGATTTGAGCTAAACTCTGCAGAGCAGAGATTTGAGGAACCCTGGTTCATTCACCCATTCATTCACTTCGAGTGTTGACATAAGCCACGTTTACATTGCAGGAACTAGGGACTTTGAGCTGGTTCTCAGTGCGTTTACACCGCAGGAACCAGGGTCTAAATGAAGTTCCGGGTAAATATTTGCGAGGTAGTACTTTTTCAAAGTTTAGGAACTTTCAGGGGTGGGACTTGGGCGCTGAACATGCTGATTGGTTGAGTTAATGCTGCATTTTGATTTGTTGACTCCACGCAGCATTTTATTTTAACCACCATTTTGTTTTTAAATCTGTTGTGGCGCGTGCAGTAACAGTTGTTTGCTATTCGAATTAATAATGGAGTTTAAAAAATACGACAGATGGACCGACGACGAGGTTCAGGCTTTATTAAGCTTAAATTCAGAGGATGAAATCCAGCGGGAACTGTAAAGTAGCACGTAGTCCTATGTCATCGGACTAATTTGCATAATCTTCAAGGTTCTTTAGACCATGGTGGAAAAGCAGACAGCAACAGGTCTGGGGGAAAAACAGTTTCGGGTAATTTCGGTGGAAACGTGGCTATAGAGGCCAGAGCAACCTGCTCCAACACACCTGCCTGTGGCTCTCAAGCAATACGGAAGACTTTGATTCAGGTGTGTTTGATTAAAGTTGGAGCTAAACTCTGCAAGACAGTAGGTCTTCAGGAGCTGGACTGAAGACCTCTGATATAGGGTTAGGTCAAATACTAGGGCTGTCAATTGATTAAAAATGTAGTGACTTGAATTACATAAAATGCAGATATTTTAAGGGCACCTATTATGCTTTTTTTATTTGAGCTTTCCTTTCCTTTCCTGAAGTATAGCTGTTTGTGCATGTAAAGGATCTGCAAATTTACAAAGCACAAAGTCCACACTAAAGGAGGTTAATCTATCCAGGAAAAAACACGTGTCTGAAATGCCTTGTTTGTAATCCTGGCCTTATTTCTGTGACTTTGCTACGTCATCATATTACACATTTGCACAATTCCCACCTACTAGCTGCTTTGGCCCACCCTCAATAAACTATTGGGTGAGTGATTTCACTATGTCGAGGAGCAAAAACATTGGCCAGCTGGCCAATCAGAGCAGGGCTTTTCGAAAAGGTGGGTAATATTAAAGATTACAATTAACAACAGAGGCCAAATTATTAAATTTAGTTGCTATATATTTTTAGATACAATAATCAACACTAAAAAATAAATAAATAAATAAATAAATACTGTAAATTGCACATAAGGCAGGTTTTGCATTAACTTCTAAATCTAATTATAAAGTTAATTTTCTACTCCAATTCATTTTAGAAATATAATCATTTACTAAATCATTTATTAATATAGTGCATAAACGAAATGCTTCTCTCAAGAGTTCATTTCTCTAGTGAACTAACCTGCTGTTGACACTAAATGCCTGAAGTAAATGTAGTGCTACGTGAGATATTAATAAAACAGCTTGAGAATAATATCTTTCTAAAGTAGAAACACTGGTTGAGAGATGTAAACATATCGATCGATTGTCACTTCTTCTTCTGCGCTTTTTACGGTTAGCAAACAGTGTTGCATTACCGCGCACGCCCCCTTCTGGATTGGAGTGCAGATCGCCTGTGACTGACTGTATTCGTTGTGCGATCGCATGGACCGAACCGTGACGTCCCGTACTGTTCGGGACGAATACATGCCCCCCTACACTAGGCATGTGCCGGTATCAAATTTTCATGTTGCGATTAATTGATTGAGCTTTTATCACGGTATACGGTATTATCACGATATTTTAACTGCACAAGAGAAACAGCTGGATTGGGGGTCTCTAAAAAAACATCAACTTGCTTCACAATGTGTAATTGTGATTGTCAAAACATTTGGTAACTAAACAGAATTTTTACAATGTTTACATGGTACAATGACTGGTAGACTACTGTTTGTATTATTGCTTAACACAATTTTAACGATTTAAATTCTTGGATTGGATTTCAATCTTGATTCAAAATTGACTCATTTGGATAAATATTAGAAATTATTATTATTTTCCAATATTAGAAATATTGGAAAATTGTTCTCCTGCAGTTTTATTGACCTCTTTCCGTGGTTGAAAAACGCTGATTGATCGACATTATGTATGAGGCATAAACCTTTCGGTAAGTTGTACTGTATCTTTAAATAAAAAGTAATAGATGGTCGGTTTACTTGAACTGAGGCACTAGGGGATCTGTCACGTCACATTTACAAGCGCCAAAAAAGTATTTATTGTCTGAATTTCGTAATAAAATGGACAGAACCTGAGAGCTGATATTTTTTTCAGCATATACGCAGTGTTTTTTAAGCGGTTGATGGAAAATTAGCTAATGCGCGTTTCTAAAAATCTAAATTCGGATCTATTATTTTTCACGATATTTTGAAGTCCCTGCGATAACAATATTGTGCATATTCATTACCGCGATTTATCGCATTACCGAATACCGCCACACCCCTATTATCGGTATAAGAAAAGCTCTCCGACTGGAAAAATGTAATACTAGCACTGAATACTATAGACTTTGAATAGTTGTTTTAGAAGTGAATATATTGTTTGTTTTGTTTCCATATCATTGAACAGATTTCACCTTCAAGATTAACACTGGCCTACAGAGTGTTACATTCGGCTTCAATGTCTGTGATGGCAGGAAAATCCCTTATTGTCAAACATATGTGATGAGTCATTGGGCATGATTGATGACATCCATTTATGACATTTGACATTGACATTTACGCATTTGGCAGACGCTTTTATCCAAAGCGACTTACATTTCATTCCAAAGTACACATTTTTTTAATTCTTATGAGTTCTTGCTTTCCCTGGGAATTGAACCCACGACCCTGGCGTTGCAAGCGCCAACGCTCTACTGTTTGAGCTACAGGAAAGCCTGTAATTTATTATTGGGCTATATTTTTTTTATTAATTGCACACAACTGACACATTAACTTGACAGCCCAATAAACATTTTTCAATCAGTGGTTTGTGGTTAAAAATTGAATAACAGGATTCTTAGTGATAAATATTTACCATATGGACAGAGTTGGCGCTTGTGGTCAAGCAACAATGTTTTTTTCCGAAGAAAATTATCCAAGTTGGGTCCGTGACGGCCGAGTGGGTCATCAGGCGGCATGAACCTGTGCAAGATGGAGTTATGATGGTTAGACTAATGGATAGGAATGAGATGACATAGTACCAAAAGCTTTAGAAGAAATATTGATGCAATAACATACTTGTCATTTACAAAGGAGTACATAAGCAATCTCTCCTCAATGCAACGCTTCCACTCCGGGCGCTCACTTTGCAGGTCACGATACGTGTCGTTCGACACTATGATGCCATCCAGGTCGTGAGCTAACTTGATAATAAAGCGATCGTCATAGCAGACCACGCGCTTTCCTCCAATCCTCCGTGAAGGTGTAAACACGAGAAACTTCTTCCTTTCCAGCTCTTCCAAAATATGCTGATCTGGAAATAAAGAAACAAGGAAATTTTATTGTCTTTGTGGACAATTTTCAGGAATGGAGGCTGTATTTCTAATTGCCATGTAGGGTTGGGGATCGTTTGAATTTGAATGACTAATCCTAATTTGGATTCCAATATGGTAAAAAACAACAAAAAAACGTAGATATCATTGACATTTAGTCTTATTGCAAAACATTTAATTGTAGCTGAATATCATGAACAAAAATCTACAGGCTAAAACACAAGGAGCGTTTGCCTGAGGTTTAAAAATACCATAGAAAAACTACTAACCTAACTAATGAAAACTTCAAGCATTATTAAAGACAAGTAAACACTCAGTAATTAAAAAAGAACAAATAAAAAAGTTTTTATAGATACAACTGAACAAAGATATGATTGAAATAAACAGTGTTTTAAGATTTTCAGTGTTCAGATACAGAAACTGTAATCAAATGTACAATAACACTGCACTTTATAAATAAAATATACATTACAAATATAGTTAAAAATTGTATTCAGTCAAGAACGAGTTAATTTTCTCTGTCTTTTGTCGTTTGATTAGTGTTATTATAGAGACGGCAGCAGGAATATTAGTGCTGTCACTTTAAGAGTCGCCCAATATAGTTACACACAGAAAACAGAGCGCCAGTCGTCTCGCGCTCGAAAAGTCATATTGAAATGCTCACAAAGGAATCAAAATTAAAATTTTATAACAAATACCCGATTCTTGACCTCTAATATGGATTCTCGATTTCTAACCCCATTGCCATGGGACATTATTTACCAGTTGCTGACAGAATGATCACACCATAACACCCATCAAATCTAAACAATTTTATGACAACTTCTGTAAGAATAAAAATGTATTCTTTAAAATTTTTTAGATTTTGCATTTTTTAAGACGCTGTGTTACGATCTTGAGACTCATGTCATTGTTACTTTGCACTTTCAACGGTGTACTTGATCTAGGGGTGGAACGGTATGTAGCCTATTCGTATTGAACCGAAACGGTACGGGCGTCACGGTTCGGTGCACGAATTTACACAGAGAATACACGGTATAAAAATAAATAAAACTCGCGTACAAATTAATTAATGTAATGCGGAACTACTGTTAGATACGCGGGTTCTTTAGGGACACATAATCTGTACCATCGGCTTAGCTCTGCCTCTGAACCTTTCTTTTACTGTCTATGCTCTGAACCAAGGGGTTGGCCGGCCGGGTTGTAGCAGAAACTGTTGTACAACTATGTTGTAGCAGAACTTCACTTGCGTTAGCATTTCCATTGACTCCCATTCATTTTGGCGTCACTTTGACAGCGAATAACTTTACATCAGAGGCGTTTAAAGACTCCATTTGTCCATTATTTATTTCTAAAGAAACACGACAATGTATAAAGTGCTCCATTACCTTCTATGTTACATTATGGCCCCGTAGAAACAGATTTAGTAAAAATAGGCTAACGATTGCGTCATAACCACTCGACTCTCTGTCGCGCTGTACAGAAATGACCGTACAGACAGGAGGAGAAGCTCGCAGGCAATCGGGGGGACGTCCCGTCAAGGGAGAAGCCCATATGTAACGGGAATTTAACCCGTCTTGTAGGGGAAAATGTATTAGTGCTGCCACGGAAGACTGAGTAACGGAAAGATCTTAGTCCCCGCTTTCAGTGCTTTTAATCTCACTACACACTAAATGTGTGTATGTTATGTTCTACTTTATTGGGATGTACAGACCGACGAGAGTAGGCTTCAGCTTAAGTAATGTCACTGGCTTCCTGAAGTAAAAGTAAACCCCTCCCTCCTCTGGTCTAATAAAGTAGCTGAGATGCCCCTACTCCTTGACAGCTCTAAACAAAAAGATACAATGAAGTAAGTACGAAATCAAACAATATTTATTCTTTGTGTCTTTTCTTCTTTTTATTGTAATCAAATGTTAAATTCAGGGTTAATGATCACAAAATAAAATAAAATAAAAATAAAGGAATAAAATGTATGGTCTTTGTGTTTTTCCTTTACCCTCACTATGACTCAATCACTTTCAATGTAAAAGCTCTAAACTTTTCACTTACCAAGATAAACCTCACTCCAAAATAAAATACAAAAAAAAACTTTTGTAAACACCACTTAGGATGAGTTCTCAGTTTTCAAATGATCAAACAATCACATTGGGGAAAAACTCCAATATACACAATGCAGTTTCACATCTAGAAGAGCACTTACGTGAAATGTCCTTTTATGTGCTCACTCAGTTCACCTTAGGTTCTGTGATTCAACAGAACTCTCACAGTTCCTCGGATCAAAAATATAATTAAAAGAAAATAATAATAGGTTGAAAATTTGAGGAGTTGTCTCGACGTAGCGTGCGTTGAAATTATCTTGAGATTTCGTAGCAATATCACTCAAGCTCAATGAAATGTCCCACAAAAAAAAATGAATGAATCAAAAAATGAGTCGAAAAATGAATGAATCAAACTGAGATGAATCAAAGATGAAATGTACAGGAATGTAACAAACTGAGATACCCCACAGAGATGTGTCAACCTGAGATGTCGTTGGATGGCAGGGTAACACAAATAGTCTTAAACTCAAATCTCCTCCGAAAATAACTATGTTCAGCACCAACTGCAGACCGCAATTCCCATCTCACGTGCGATGACACGTGCAGAACACTCAAATGCGCGTGACCAGTGCGGTTGAAATGTTCGTTCGTAAGAGTGCTTCTCAATCAAAATGAAAGTCCAAAACTTAACAAAAATGTAAAAAAAAATCTCTTCAATCGTCGCCAATCAAACTAACGTGTACTTTTAATGCACTCACAGACAGTTCTCTTGCCTTCACAAAACATTACTGCGTCACTCCAGCAGTCCAAAGCAATGCGATATGATTCACGGATCAAAATTCACACAAAAAAACTACGAAACGCGGGACACAGCTCGCAAAAATCACCTGATGTCGTCCTTTATTCGACCAAAGCCCCGATCAACTTCTGTTCAAGTCACTTTATCGAACGAGCTTCTCGAACACGACAACACTCACTTTTTTTGTCTGTCCGACCCTCTCATACCCCGCGCTCTTCTTCTTCTCCTCTCTCAGCCCACACTGAACACCGAAAACCAGTCCACCCGTCAAAATAAAAGTCCGCCAAAAATAATTATTTCTAGGTAATATATACCCGTTACATTTCCCCCCTACTAAACCCTGCCACTCCATCGACATCTCCAGCAGACTCATCTCTGAAACACAAAAAACATATTAGGCAGACATCACATTGTACATGTATAACTCTTTCTCCTAATACCTTACAAGTTACAAAACTTTCTGGACCCTTATTTTAGAATGTAATCATTCCTGTATTTCACAGGCATTCTACCCTGGGTTTCCCTCTTCGAACGTCTAAGACCAGGTACCCCACTAGTGTCAACTTCTGAAATGTCAGAATCTTCAGATTCCCCATCTTGACCTGTGTCTACTCTCTCATTCCCAGCTACATTACCCTCCTCACATACCACTTCACCCTCTACTTCTCCCGGTAAGCCTGTGTTTGGTAAGTGTGTAGTATATGGAATGTAGACAATGTCTTGCGAGTCTGAGTCTGACAATTCTTTTTCTCTTCCCGCATGTGTAACCTGCCTTGTGGGTGAGGGAAAAGTACAGTGTCTCAATTGATCCCTGTGAACCACCTTTGTGGAACCTCCCTGCTCAGGACGTACAGTAAAGACTGGTAAACCTGCGTGATTTTGCTGCACTACCAAATACGGTACAGACTCCCACTTATCTTGGATTTTGTTCCGTCCTCTAAACTTGTGGTTACGCAACAATACTCTGTCACCAGGTCTAATGAGCGCTCCTGAAGCCTTGCGGTCATAGACCCTCTTCCTTCTCCTGGAAGCTTCTTGAGCAGTTACCTTCGCCGCCTCCACTGCAGTTCTCAGGCGTTCATGATGATTCTTTACCCACTTTTACCCACTCATCAAGATCATCTGCCTCATCATCAGATAGGTCTTTTCCTCCTAGGACATCCATAGGCAATCTTGCGTCCCGTCCAAACATTAAATAAAATGGGGAGTAACCGGTTGATGAATGAACGTGGCTATTGTAGGCCATCACAAGTTCAGGCAAGTACGTTTTCCAATCCTTCTTCTTTTCCGCAGGTAATGTTCGCAGCATATCGTGCATTGTGCGATTGAACCTTTCGCACTGCGCATTCCCTTGCGGGTGATAAGGACTGGTGCGACTCTTGCTGATTCCATACAATTTACAGAGCTCCTTTATTACACTTGCCTCGAAACATCTGCCTTGATCTGAGTGCAATCGGGCAGGACACCCATAGCAAACAAACCAGTGTCGTACAAGGGCCTTGGCGGTGGTAAGTGCTGTCTGATTTTGCGTCGGGACTGCCACAGTAAATCTTGTAAACAAGCACTAGAACATTTTCGTAACCCCCTGCTGATCTCTCAAGCACAGTGTAGTCCATGGCAAGAACTTCTAGAGGTGCAGTTACGTTGGTGCAGGTCATAGGAGCACGAATCTTGGGGAATACATCCTTAGCTAGGGTACATCTTCGACACTGGGTTACCCATGTTTGTACGTCATTGGCCATGGTAGGTCAATAATAACTCTGTCGCACCTGCTCTAATGTACTCCTGCTACCGAAATGCCCTCCATGTTCATGGACTCCCTTATACACTTTCTCCCGTAAAGACTCAGGCACTACCAACTGCCAAATCTCCTCTCCGTCTCTTGGGTCTGTAATCACTCGGAACAGCACTTCATGTCTTAATTTCAAACGTTCCAACTGTCTAGCTAGCTTCTTTGCTGGGTTTCCATTTCCCGAAAACTACGTGTCATTATGCTCCTATTCTCGAATACAGCGTTGTACACAGGTGCTATACAAGGATCCTTCCTCTGTTGTTCTTTGATGGATGACCAGCTATAACCATCAACACCCTTCCTTATGGCTGCTTGCCTGGCAACTCTGACAACAGACTTGTCAACCCCTTC